TCTCTTCAATAACATCATCGCCTGTGGTTGCATCCTGTGTCTCGTCTCAGTGTTTTTGTTTGGCGTCCATGATATYAAAAACCCTGAATTTGCATTTGCGTTGGTTTGTAAGGTAGGCTAAAACATTCTTAGAAGAAGATCTGTGATTGGTCTGCTTAAAGGCCTACGTGCATCCAAGAACCTTTGCGCGATTTTTTCACATACGAAAATTCGCCATCTTTAATTTTTGAAAACAACTTTAAACAAAAGCTCATTTTCAAAACAAAAGACGCGATCGCAAAGGTTCATGGGTGCACGTAGACCTTAAAATACATATATGACGATTTATCGCTTTGACGTCTAGATGTATAGTCTTCTTGTTCTTCTTGTTCTTGTTCTTCTTGTCCTTCTTATCCTTCTTATTCTTCTTGTTCTTATTCTTCTCGTTCTTGTTCTTCTTGTTCTCCTTGTTCTTCTTGTTCTTCTTGTTCTTGTTCTTCTTCTTCTTCTTCTTCTTCTTCTTCTTCTTCTTGTTCTTCTTCTTCTTCTTCTTGTTCTTCTTCTTCTTCTTTTTGTTCTTTTTGTTCTTCTTATTCTTCTAGTTCTTTTTGTTCTTCTTGTTCTTCTCTTCTTGTTCCCTTCTTCTTCTGATTTTTTTCTGAACTTAAGTGTACTTTATATACTTTATCTTTTCCTCACAGGCGAGAGCATGGACATTAACAATGGGATTTTCTTTTGCCTTTGGAGCAATGTTCGTCAAAACATGGAGAATATACAAAATATGTACAAATAAGAAACTACGGATGAAGGTACTCCCCATGTATTCATCTTGCCCAGGGGCAGATCAGTAGGGATCGCCACAGGCTTCCCAACCCTTCCATTATGAGACAGGAGGCCGGTGATCACTAGAATTGAATTCCTTCCTTCCTTCCTTCCTTCCTTCCTTCCTTCCTTCCTTCCTTCCTTCCTTCCTTCCTTCCTTCCTTCCTTCCTTCCTTCCTTCTATCTTCCCCCTTCTCTTCCTTCCCCCTTCCTCCCTTCCAACCTCCCTCCCTTCTATCCACTCACATATTTTTAATGTTTTTTGTTACAGTTGGGTCCTCTATCTAACTGGTACTTACTATCTTTGATCGGTGCAATTGTTTTCATCGATTTGATTATTCTCGTCACATGGGAGCTGGTTGATCCATTGGAACACGGAGAAGAAGTCGTCGACCCCAAATTTGTAAGTAAAAAATTGGAAATGTAAGGAGAATTAGAGAAAAGTCATCTCATAGCTTTATCGCTTTGTTTAAATTAMTTTTGCAGCCAGATCCAAACACTCGATTTAAATACTACAGAAAAGTCCTCAATGTGTGTAAAGCAAAGAGCATGGTCGTGTGGTTGGGTATATTCTACGTYTAYAAAGGMATATTGATTCTCTATGGACTTTTCTTAGCCTATGAGACACGTAATGTCATCTATGCCCATCTGAACGATTCAAGAGTTATTGGAATCTGTGTTTACAATGTCGTGGTGTTATCGGTAGTTGGAGCATTTCTTTCGTTGTTGCTTGAAGCGAAGAATTATAAAGAAATGTATATTGTCCTAGCTGTGTGTATAACTTTTCCTGCGGTAGCTACTATCTCGCTTATGATGTTTCCTAAGGTACTAACAATTATGATTGATTGGTTGGCTGATTGGTTGATTGATTGATTGATTGATTGATTTGTTCATAGATTGATTGCTTGATTGATTGCTTTGTTCATTGATCGATTGATTGATTGATTTTGATTGATTGATTGATTGATTGATTGATTGATTGATTTTGATTGATTGATTGATTGATTGATTGATTTTGATTGATTGATTTTGATTGATTGATTGGCATTATTGATTTATTTTTTGTTGATTAGATTGTTGATTGCCTGACGAGTACATCGATCTTAAAAATAATCATTTATTAATTCCATCACTCAAACATTACTATCTTCCTTATCACAGATTGCTTATCGTTGTAAAACTGATAATCTCGATGACACGGAGACGATAGCCAACGGCATGACAACAGTACGAMATTCGTTTGACATCTCAAGCATGCACACTCCTCAAATACACGTTACTACGCATGTGCCGCAGACCAACACACAGCAACCGTCGTGCTCTAAAGATGCCAAATTCTCATACCATAATAAAGAAATGTCGGACTCTAATGCTGGATCGGATGTCTCTCAAAATGGAGGTCTACATGCAAAGCAATGATGTATATCATGTATTTAATGTATATAATAATCTCTACTGGGCTGCCTGTGTTCGATACTGTATGTTCGCAATAGCAGTGTTTGCGATCACTGCATTATTTATGTGAAAATTATAAAATAATCTTTTTTGACATTCTTCTCATTCGTGTATTCTTCCTTAAACGCAATCTCATTCCCAGGCCACGCAATCTCATTCCCATGCCACTTCCAAACGAAGCGATTATGGCCTGGACACGAGGTTGCAGCCCCGTGGATAGTAGGTGTTTTAATGCCAACGTAGACAGAGATTTAACACTCTTTTAATAGCAGCAATCAATGGAGGATGAGTGGTCTGCCTTTTTCTAGTGTCGTCAAGAGACCAGAAATATACTTTGGACTTTGCACATTAATGTACCACCTCCCCCCAGTCMTTGGGGTCAGGTGGAACCGAGCGAAAGGACAAGGAAATCTGGGGACCATGCTTTCAGTTTACCTTGGTTGATGCATTTGGCATTTTCATTGGCCTTTTCTGAAATGATAGTTAGCATTGCATTGTGGTCTAAATTCGGTTGAATATAGTTCATTCATGTAACCAAATATGGTGTTCTTTGAGCGGAAGCTAGTCCACAATGCAACRCTGTTTTRAGTTTCAGACAATCTGACAAGGCGGGTGCGATATTCTCAATAACATATGAACATATTCATAACACTTTCACTCGTCACATTTKACTGTATATTATATTATTTCTATGCTGACGATTTGGCTGATTGGAGCGATCCGAGCAATCAATGAAAACCAACATTACGGCGTATCGTTCTTCCTTGTCAGGGGAAAATGCCCAGTTTGACTGATTACAATTACCTAGGGGGCCACTCCATATTTGGATTTTGTTGTACATGTTTTTMATACTTGTCAGTTTGGTGCAGAGCGCCACAAATAAACTGAAACAGATTTTTTTTATAATGAAGCAAAATCTAATACGATTTCGATTTAATTAATCGATACCTTATTAGGAATCGTCAGATAAAGTAGCTCTCCATTTGAATTGTGGGAAGACATGGGAGGGGGTCATGCACCCCCTCCCACTATTTCCACCCCCATTACGGAAATCATTAGCCTCCTTTGCGGACGCTTTTACGTAGACCGATGCATATARCGTCTGCACACGAGGCTAGAAAAACATTTCTTATTCAAAATTCATCATGAATCCAGACAGAAATAACACAGGCAACTCATTTTCTGAACTTATTCTCCATTGTATATTTAAATAAAATCGKTCCGAAAGTTTCAAAGTGTTGTGTGTGGTCTTTTTATATAGAATTGTTTGMGTATTCATATGTTCGATGTATCGWRACATATTCGATATGACGTCATATTTTATGCTTCATTAARYTGGGRGYCCTGTGGTGCACGACCATTTAACTCGAAAAAAATGGAATTTATTGCTAAAAAAGCTTGAAAATATTCAACTTGTCTTCCAAATAGTTATAGCTTTATGTTTTTTATTAAAAATGTGATCAATTTAATGTGAAAATTGAGAAGTTAAAGGCTTTGAGAGCAAAGTTCAAGCCGAAACTCGTTCCAAGGTCCTGCCATCCCAGAATTAAACCGAGGCTTGTCTAACTTTCCAAAATGGAGGCGTCGGAGAGGAGTGAACATCACCAAGTAAGTTTTGATAAACTCTTTTCACACTTAAGGTTTTCGTCAATAGCTGTTTCCCGTAGCAACGGCATGTAAATATCTATTGTTTAAAATGCAAATTGCAGTAATCGCGCTGGTTGATTGAAAGAATGGTATTTCATTCTTCAAACTGTGTTTTGATGTTGTCCAAAACTTTCTCTATTCTAATTGTTTAAAGAACTTAATCTTTCGTATTTTAGTTTCATGGGTTCTGGAAACTCAAGATTTGGTAAAAAAGGGAAATTTGCTCCGGTGAAGAAMGAAGMGAAGGTCGAATCGAGCGAATCTTATTCGAAGACGTTCCACGATCCATTCCAAAGTAAAAATACAGATATTAAACCTTTAACATACGCTGAAGCAGCCTCATTGAGACCGTCAACGAATGAGAACATGTGGGCAATTGTACAACGGACTTGTGCAAGTGAGGATAGTTGGGCTCTGAACTCGGTGAAAAATCGTCGAGGATGGAAAACTATTCGTCTATTTGTGTCATCAACGTTTCGTGATTTTCATGCCGAACGAGAAGTGCTTGTAAAAGAGGTAGAGTTGCTCAAAATAATTGTATAGTTTGCATGATTTAAATTAAATTTATGTGATTTAAAGACGGTTTACATTGCTATATGATTTGAATGTTTACATAAAGTGTTTAAGTCTTAACTTAACCTTACTTACTTTTTATTCTGATTATGCAAGCTAATGCTTTCGATACCATGCTTTCTGTGCCTAGATGTCATATTTATTTATTTATTTACCAATACAGCCAAGGATATACGCTAAATATTTACATGATTGTAAAATGCATGAACTTGGTGCTGTACGAACATCGCATGACCATGACACAATATTTGTTCAACACATCAAACATAGCATATACATGTATAAGCTATGACTTAATTTGTCCAAACTTTTTTAATCAAGGAAAACTTATCAGTGTTTTATTCAGTCTTGTACAATGTAGAATTCATAATTTCTAAACTCATACCACAGCAATTAACACCTATATCACACAAATGGGCTGTTTTTCTATGCTTCAATCTATCAACACCAATTAAAAAAATAACATTGCATGTTTCAGTCTCCAGTTTTGCTCTGCATAGAGTTTATAATGTGTATAATTGTACAAATAACATCACTGCTCGATCAAGTGCACAGCAAAATTTGATTTAAAAGATAGTCTGTGTTTGTCTACAGAGAACATGTTCATGACCTTGTATTGTTCAAACCATGTAGTTTATAAGCTATACAAAAGCCAAACAGCTTCGCAAATGTGATAACATTATGACCATAGTCCGACACAGTCACCTAACTGGTTTTTCTGGTGTAAGAGACTGTTCAAGCCTTTAGGAAAACCATTGCTACATGTACACTCTGTATTGCTAGTCAATATCAGATGCCCAACATCGGGCAGACAGTCATGCAGATGGAGTTGCCTCCAAGCTATCCACCARATAAGGATTACTAGGTTGACAGGAGGTTTTTAATGTGTACAACTTAGAAAATAGATCCACTGAACTCAAACAATTCATAAACATCTGAATACTTGATTTACAATAGACAATACTGATGCTACTTGGCTTATACTGAACTTGAAATTCAAATACAACAAAGTTCATGTGCATTAGTAGAAGTAYGTGCTATTCACAAATGGTTAGATTACACAGCGTACCACATTACTGCTTCCATGGTTACAAAGTTTATTATAATTTCTGTTTATTTCAAGTGCTTGTACATAATTTACTCTTGAATATTCAAATAAACTAGAACATTGCTTGATGTTTACAACAAAAAAAGAATTATTCATGATTTGTCCCAAGGTGACATTTTATGAATGACTTATTTCTAAATTCACATTTTTAAAAGATACGATATGTAAATTGAATATTTTATCTCAAGACATATAATTGTTTTTCAAATTACCCCTAGTGGTGATGCTTTCATCTTTTACAATAATGTAAGAGATTCTTGCTGTGAGCTATTTTCGTTGAYAAATCTTGATGCTGTGAAGYGCAATTATTGRTKGAAYYCCTGCTGTTTGTCATTTGTAATTGAACATTGGTGTTTTTCATGAAACCTTCTTGTAATTCATAATGTCCTAGTATTAACTGTTATCATTTCATTAATTTCTAATGTTAACCAAAACATAAATGTTTCTACACCTTTCCCTGACTATTTTAAAACTGCCAAAAATTATTCTGAACCAGTTGACTTTGATATAAACACCAAACTTGTGACCATTGCAAAGCCAACCTTGTAAAATAAATCTTTTTTTTTCTTACTCTGCAAGGTTGTTTTGCAATGATTATATATTAATTAAAAAGAACTTATAACAACTTATTTTTTACATGTGCAATTGATGCAATTCCAGGTATTTCCTGACCTCCGTCTTTGGTGTGAAGAAAGAAARCTTCACTTGGTTGAATGCGATCTTAGATGGGTAAGTTGTAGTTACCAATTAGAATAGTTAACTACATTGAAGTATCCATTGATACAGTAYATGTATGTACATTAGCATGAGAATTTTACTACAGTCTACACGTTTTTTTGTTTTTTTTTGTGCCATGTTGAATGAAGGCAAGACTGCTCCAATGATAAAAATCTTCTTTCATACCTACAGACRGTTCCCTGCGCCATGTTAAAAGGTAGTCATGCCTTTACATTGAAGCAAGACAACCATTGAGCATGCAATGTTAGAAACCTGTGAATAATGGTTTGTAGGTGTGAAAGAAGGTTTCTATCATTGCACGCTCAAYGGTYGTCTCGCATCAATGCAAAGGCAAAGCTACCTTTCAAGATGGTGCAGGAACCCTTAAGGGAGACTATTGCTGTGGTTTGACTGTTACATTACTTGTCATTTAATACACACCCAATTTAATTGTAGGGAGTACCAAAGGATTCAACAACAGAAGAAACAGTTCGCATATGTTTGGAAGAAATAGATCGCTGTTACAGAGACAATACAATGCCATATTTCCTTAATCTGACCTGGTAAGATATCAATAAACTTTTCAAATTATTTAATATTTAGCTTATTTATTTGGCTAATCATCACCATCATCATCGTCATCATCATCATAYTGTTATTATTATTAGATATTAATCATTATTTTCTCTTTAGTATGAGATCAGGTTGGATCCCTGATTTTGGTGACTTGACGTACAATCTTGCTGTCCAATATGGCTGGGTTTATGGTCTTTCACTTACAGAAATGGAGATAGTGCATGGAGCTTTCCGGAAGTGCAATCCAAATGGTCAGTCATTTCTCTTTATTTTCCTAATTTCTCCCCATCAATGTGTTTCATTTGATCACTGCGCTCTCCCATGTGTCCCACTTCCTTCCATCTTGTCTATCCCATTCTTCTATTCTTTTTCATTTTGTTTCAATTCTTTTCTCTCATTATTTTATATCTTATTTTCCATTTCATTTTTTTCTATTTATTATAGCACTTTTTATGATTCGAGATGAAAAGTTTACCAGGAAATTACCAGACGAAGTAAAAGACGCCTTTGTAGAGAACACTACTGGGAAAATTGACAAATTGAAAGATATACTGAAAGAGAAGTTTCCTGTGAGTACATTGAGATGATGGTGATGATGATAGCA